GTAATTTTCCATCAGTCATTAGTTGCATTCCACAAATGCTTGTCAGCGTAAGTCAGGCGCAGGAATTAGGGAGGGGTAGGAAGTGTACAGCAGAACACTATAATTTTGTTAACAAAGACAATTACTCTGTAAGGGTACTTCCCCCTGGCTAGGCGGGTGGGCTGCCCTGTGTAAATTTAACTTTTATGGTTAGCCTTTTCCTTTGTCTCAAGGGCATGTGTGCTCGCAGTCACGTAGGCAGAAGGCCAAGAAACGGTTGACAGACTCCATTTTGTTCAAGGTTCTAGCAGTCCCCAACAAAAGTGTGTTCCTTTGGCACTGGTTTCAGGGTCAGGGTACATTTCTTTGGTTCTGGTTGCAGGGCCAAAGTGTGTTTCCTTGGCTCTGCTCAGGGTGTGTTTCTTTGGCTCTGCTCAGGGTGTGTTTCTTTGGCTGGCCCCTTTTCCCCACACTTTCCCCCATAGAAGCCCAGCCATGAAGCCCAGGAACACCACATAAACTTCCCCTCCTCTCTGTATAAAGCTGGTCAGCAAAGTGCTCCAGCCTGCAGAGCACGGAGAGTAAGTCACCGTGCGTGGTCAGCGCTGGATGGGACGTCATCCCAGCACCACTCCCCACGAAGCTCAGGGAGCACTGCTGAAGAGGGGTGGAGGGAGCACAAGAGCTGGAGGAGGGAGGAGTGCTGTGGGGGGAGGACTGTCTGTGGAGGAGGAGGGAGGGCTGCCTGTGGAGGAGGAGAATTGTCTGTGAAGGAGGAGGAAGGACTGCCTGTGGAGGAGGAGGGATGACTGCCTGTGAAGGAGGAGGAGGAGTGCTGTGAGGAGGAGGAGGGAGGACTGTCTGTGGAGGAGGAGGGAGGACTGTCTGTGGAGGAGGAGGGAGGACTGTCTGTGGAGGAGGAGGGAGGACTGTCTGTGGAGGAGGAGGGAGGACTGTCTGTGGAGGAGGAGGGAGGACTGTCTGTGGAGGAGGGAGGACTGTCTGTGGAGGAGGAGGGAGGACTGTCTGTGGAGGAGAAGGGAGGATTGCCTGTGGAGGAGGAGGAGGAGTGTTGTGAGGAGGAGGAGGAGGAGTGCTGTGAGGGGGAAGACTGCTATGAAACGATGCCTTCCGGCTGCCACACAGCTATTGCACTTATGAACTCACCACAGTTACGGTTACCCACAGGATCAAGCCAATAAGATGAGCGCCCCCAGCAGGAAGCATTAAGTGTGGGAGGGAGCCGGAAGTGGGTATGATCAAGATACATTGTATACGTGTATGAAATTGTCACTTAATGCATAAAGCGTACTTTTAAATTAAAAGTTTTTCTGGGGGCTGGAGAGATGGCTCAATGGTTAAGAGCACTGGCTGCTCTTCCAGAGGACCCAGGTTCAATTCCCAGGACCCACATAGCACCTCACAGCCGTCTGTGACTCCAGTTCCCCAGGATTTGGCACTTTCACACATAAAATAGAATTAAAATAAACTATTTATAAAGAAGTTTTTCTGTAAGACTGGAGAGATGGCTCCCAGGGGCCAAGAGCACTTGCTAATCTAGTTTAAGTCCCAGCAACCTCATGGAGACTCACGACCATCAGTAACTCCAGTTCCATGGGATCCTGCTCCGTTTTCCAGTCCCCATGGGCATCAGGCATGTGTATGGTGCACGTGTGTACAGGTAAAACAACCATACACAAAACAAACTCATCAAATCTTCTTTAAAAGACAAAGACTACAGAGGGAGTTCCAGGACAGGCCCCGAAGCTACACAGAGAAACCCTATCTCAAAAAAAATGAAAACAAAACATTTCAGGGTCATCCTCAGATATACAGCCAGTTTGGGGACAGCCTGGGCTACATGTTTCAAAACACAGAGGCTTTCCTGGGCTCCTTGGGTTTTAGGGTCTTCATCTCTGAAGGTTCTCGTGTCTTAAAGCAAGATTCAGTGAATTTGCCATGCTATTATCTTGCTATGGGAGTGTAGGCTAGCCCTATGCAGGGTGAGGAAAGTCTGCTTGCCTTTTCTGACCCTCTGGAAGCTGTGATGAGGTCTCCCATGAGGCAAAAAAGAAGGAAAATCAAGCCATGCCTGTTTGTGCTGCACCGAACAATCACTGCAGACCCGAGGAGGGTCATTCCACCAGCCAGCGGCTCTAGGGGAGTATGTGCTCACCCCTGCGTGGGGACATCCTTTGGGCCAGTAGATTTTCCCCTAGGAATTTAACCTAGATACATTTTAGAGTTGTGCTCTAACGACGCAAGGCTATCCCCTGAAGCACTGTTGAAAAATGAGATTACAGACACGCCAAAAGAAGGTTTTAGGGTGTAATAAAATAACTTCCTTATAGTCTTGGGTAGAAGACTATGCATCATAAAAATCTCGATAGTCTCCTGATTCTCCAGGTTCCAAGCAGTTTCTATTCAACATCCCTGAAGGTCGGTTGCTGGTGGGTAGTTGCAGGGATGAGTGGAACAGCGTGTGAAGGTTTACAAAGAGATGATAAAGGACGGTTGAAGCAGATTTAAAAACAAAGTCTACCAGAGCAACCTAATAGCCTCTGAACAGAGCTGTGTATCTATGGAAACATCATTCTGATAACAATTAGTATTGTGCAATGGCAATGGGGAAGGATGGATTCCGTCTTAAAGAGATGTTATTGTACTCAAGAGCTATGCTGCATGGTCTAAAAGATACAACAGAGCCGAGCCGATAAATCAGTTAGCAAAGTGCAGCCTTGCAAGCACAGAGACATGAATTCAACCCCCAGAACTCATGTTACAAAAAAGGATAGTGTCGCACCTGCTGAGCAGCCTGCATCCGAGAATGTAGCGAGGTGGTCGGGATAGATGACACAGAGACCGGTTGGTTGCTTTAAGAAAACTTTATGCTCCCCAAGTCGGCTTAGGAGAACTCCCCAAGAAAAAACGCTTCCCTTTTAAAAGACTTCTGCCATCCATACACACACAATTCTCCAACCGAGCTCTCACACACCTCTCACAGCTCTCACAGACTTCTCACCCTCCTGACTGGTAAATCTAAATCTCTGGCACCAGAATCGGGGAGAAACAGCAGGGAGCAGGAAGAAGCATCTAGCCGTAGGGGGGATCAAAGTCATGGTGTTTCAGTGATCGAGCCCTTATCGGAGCCCTATCAAGAGCTTTATAGCACTGAATTGTTTTCAGTAAACGTTATCTCGCAGCTGCCTGCTCCCAGGCTGATGGAGGGGTGTGTTTCCGGCCAGGGTCTGTGATCCCCACAGATAGGTGTAGTGATGCATGCTTGCAATTCCTGGGCAAGGGAGGCAGAATCGCATGAATCCTGGGACTCCTGGCCAGCCAGGCTAACCTTCACGGCCAGTTCATAGGTCATGCAGAAACAGAGGAACGAGCCTGGGGAACAACAGCCAAGGTTGTCTTCTGGCCTCTAGGGGAATGCACACACGTGTGCGCCTGTGAACACAATGCCACACAAAGGGAGTGGTGTGTGTGTGTGTATGTGTGTGTGTGTAAAGGACCAGCCATGGTGGAACACACCTGTAATCTCACTCAGGAGGCTGAGGAAGACAGATCATTGCAGGTTTGCAGCCAGCCTGGGCTAGACAATAAGACCCTGTCCCAATCAAAACAAATCAGATATTAATGTGTTTATATACGGTGTGCATTGCACACACACACTCACACACACACGCGCGCGCGCTTATGCACACAGCTCTGTAATCAGGCAAGGACAGGACATCTGGTGGCACCAAGTCGGCAAAATTAAACTGCCCGTCGAATGCTGGGACGGCCATCCATCTACCTCAAAGTTTTATTTCATTTTATAAAAGGGAAACTGGGCAGAACTAAGCAACACGTTGTTGACAGCCACGCTAAGACTGCAAAGGTCCATGTGTACTTTTGGGGGTGTAAGGAGGGGAGCATCGAATGGGGAGGATTACACAGGGTGATGTCCCTAAGAGGGCAAGCTGTAACAGAGGATGGATAGTTCAGAAACATAAGAAGAACGAGGTGGCCGGGCGTTGGTGGTGCATGCCTGTAATCCCAGAACTCGGGAGGCAGAGGCAGGCGGATCTCTGTGAGTTCGAGGCCAGCCTGATCTACAGAGCGAGTTCCAGGACAGCCTCCAAAGCCATAGAGAAACCCTGTCTCGAAGAAAGAAGAAGAAGGAGAAGGAGAAGAAGGAGTAGGAGGAGGTGTGGCTGGGACCCGGTTTGGTCTGACAGGGAACATCAGTGAGTTCAAGAAAGGTCCCACCCCAAGCACAGAGGAGGGAACCCAGCACGTTTCCATTTTTACGTGCATTTTAGGGTATGCTCTGCCGTCGGTGTGTCCTATAGGACATCTTTCAGAGGGATCACAAGAATCTATCAGTAGCCGTGGCTTTTGAACAGCAAGGGTGGGAGAAAGGGCTGCCTTTTCCACTGTGTGCGGCTTGCATCTTTTTTAATTCGTCCCCCTTGTGCACCGGTTCCTTCTCGGAGATGGGGCTGAAGGGCAGGAGGACAGGGCTGACGCTCCCTGGCTGGTGAGGGCCTTTCTCAGGAGTCCTGCTATGCTACCGCTGTCTGGGACAGAGCCCAGGGCTAGGCAGGGGACCGGGAAAAGAGAATCCGGGTCCACCGTTGGTAAGGGCTGTTGACTGCAGCCGGTTACGCAGACACACACACCCATCCTCATCCCGTGCGGGACTCTGGTCCCCGGCTGTGGAACCGGCTAGGAAGAGCTCAGAAGAGGGGCTGAGAACTAGGGCGGCCCCGGGCGGGTTCCGAACTTGAGAATTCCCGAGACGAAGCCGGGGAGAACCAGGCAAAGAACCCGGGAGACGCAGTTGGGAAATGACAGCCAACCTCCAGCAGCAGATGCCCAAAGTCTCCATTTCGGGGCCCAAGCGCGAAACTACAACTCCCAGCAGCCCCCGGCATCCAGCGTAAAGAGCAAAGGCTGCCGGGAAGACGTGGCTCCAGGCCGGGCGGAAGACGCAGGTGCAGAGCGGAGGCTGCCGGGAGAGCGCGCGGCCAAAGGGTGGGGCGCAGGCGCAGAGCGGGGGGCTGTCGGGACACGCACGCGCGCGCGCGCGGCGGGGCGGAAGTGGCCGCGCGCGCCCTGTCCGGCCCTACGCAGGTAGGCGGCAGCCCGCGGGCTCCGGAGCCAGGGCTCTCAGTGGGTGAGTGAGGGCGAGCCTGCGGCCGGGTGCTCTCCCTCGCCGTGCTCTGGGGCCTGTCGCCGCTCGCACCGGTCCAGCCTTGGCCCGCAGCTCACCTGGGACCGGTGCCGGGCAGACAGACGTCTTCCCCCCCGCCCCCGGCTAGTGTGGGAGCCCTCCCCTCTCTGATGAGTGTGTAATGCTGTACCCCCCACTCCCCCGAGGAGTAGAGTGAGACTTCTTCCTCCGGGGACGCTTCGAGTCCCTGGCGACAGCCTCTTCCCTCCCCGCCTGGCCTGGGCAGGGCCCCCCCCTCCAGGCTGGCACTGGATCACAACTGTAACAGACCCCGTCCACCCCACCCCCCATCCCCACCAGGAAGCGCCCACCTTCTTGCTCCCGTCCCGGCTCCCGGCTCCGATCAAGACTGGACCTGGGCAGCACCGCAGCGCTGTCTCCCTTTCCACTCCTCGGCTAGACACCCTCCCTGCCCCTCGTGCGCGCACGCACGCACACACACACCCCCTGCTCCTCGCCTGCACAGACAAACCCGTTCTCAGATGCGTCCTCCCAGCCTCGGAGACGGGCAGCCCCGGGTCCGTCCTTGGTGTTTAGCTGCTTTCACCTAACAGTCCTTCCTCCCCTAGTACCCACTCACGTTCACCCGACCCCAGCAAACCCCAGCACCCTTTCCTGCAGACACTCAGCAGCCGTCAGTAACCAGCGTCGCTTCCCATTCCCGTCTCAGAACTGTGTACTTGACAATCCATAGACCTGGGAACCCGGGCGCATGGTGTCAGTGGCACGTTCTGGCAGGCCAGAACGTACATGAGCTCCCAAGACTTCAGGAGGGACCATGGTACTGCGGGAGCCGCCTTGGTAGCTCCTCCCGTGCCCCTCTGTGGAGCTTGACTGAGGACCGTCTTTCCAGACTGTTCCACAGACCCTTCTTTCCGCACCCCCCCCCCAGAACTAAGCGTAGCAGCCCTGCTGGGACCCTGTGAGCACGGCAGGCCCTCCCTGGTGACCTCCGTCTTCTGTGTGTGTCCCCGAGCCCTGGTGGAAGGCACGTTGGAGGAGCCAGCCTAGTTCTTTCTGGATAAGAGGAGGGATGTGTGTCACACAGAGCCAGCTAAGAGTCCTTCCCTTCTCAGTTGTCACCTTGCTTCTGCAGCCTACGAGCAGCTCCACGGAGGCGTTGGCTTAAGCTGCTGGTTCTCCCAAAACTGTTTTCACCAACCTGCCCAACAGCGGGGTCCCATCTGCTGTGCCCTCGGAGCGGAGGGGACAGGAAGAAAGGCCTGGAGAGTGGTGGAGGCTGGCGTCCCATCTTCACCCCTCCCCCTGAGTGTGGCATGTGTGCACGGGGCGTTCCCACGGACACGCGTGACCCTGCCACCTCAGAGCGTCCTTGGCGGCAGTGTGGCTGTCTTCACGGTGGCTGTACAGGTAAGGTGGTCCAGTGCTCTTGGAGGACAGTGGGACTGTCATCCACACCCCTTCCTCTCTCCGTAGAGTGGCGTGAGGGCCGCCTATCGGAAGCCAGTGAGTGTTGAGAATTCCTGGAAAGCTTGTCTTAAATGCCAGCATCGAAGGAATGAAAACCCTGTATACCGACCTTAAATAATTTTTCCTCCTTTTTATCAACACAGGATAGGTTGGCTAGGAAAAAATAATAGCCGTGCATGGATACTTAATTATTAATAAGTCAGCATGGAGAGGCATTAAGGGTTCCTGTTGGTGGACATTTCTCTGGAATCCCCCCGTTTCTTTTCAGTGAGTGCAGCCATTAAGTGTTTCACCTATGTCCGGTGTGTTTCCTATGTCTCAGGAAATGAGCTAGAAGCTCACGTCTGCTCCAGTGCACTAAGAGTGAGCACTTGATCGGTGGGGTACAGGTGAGCGTGAGGTGGCCCATGGGGATGGTCCTAGATCCTGTCCCCGGAGCTGGCACTGAGGGAAGCTCTGTGCCCCAGGGTACAGCGTGCATCCTGGAGTCCAGTGCTGCTCTGAGTTGGACTGGGATTGCTACACTCCTGGTCTCAGGCATCTTGGCATCCGGTGTTTGGGGTATCTGCTAGGATTCCTTCCAAGGCACTGGGGGTACAGATTAAGCAGATGCTGCTGTGTTGTGATGCCACAGATGCAAATCAGGGAAGCTTCTGAAGCTTCTCCGCCCACCCTAGGAAAGGCCTGGTGTGAACCGTAGTGAGCCTCAAGTCAGCCATGTTTACCCCACCCTGTGGTTCCCCCACCATGTCCACCGCCAGCCTGTGAATGTGCTACATTGGATAAGAAAGGGAATTAAGACTAAAGTACCTCAACTGCAGCCGGGGAGGTTTGCTCTCCCAAGGCGAAATGTGGCCTCAGGGCCCTTAAAACCGTAAGAGGGAGGCAGAAGAGCAGATGGAAAGGCTGCAAGAAGCCACTCAGTGTCAGTGTTGCTGGCTCCAGACGGGGAGGAAGGGACCACAGGCAGGGAGTGAGCCTGGGAAACAAAAATAACACACCCCTCTGTAGCACGAGTTCTACTGGGTCTTAATAATAAAAACCCAGAGTCAGATATCGGGTAAATGCAGAAAGGTCAGAGAAATAAAGGAGCAGCCACAAGAGAGACATCTTACCTCAACTGACTCCTCAGACCAAAGGGACAAACCTGTCCTTACCAATCCTCAGACTGAATGCCATGAGTTCCTGTCTCCTCCTGCCTTATATTCCTCTCTCTGCCCAGCCATATCCTGTCTTCACCTCCCTAGTGCTGGGATTAAAGATGTGAGCCGCCACTGCCTGGCCTCTATGGCTAACTAGTGGCTAGCTCCGCACTCTGATCTTCAGGAAAGCTTGATTTGTTAGATCACAAACAAAATATCATCACACCCCTCCACAGTAGTTGACTTAAAAACAGGCTGAAAAAATAAAACAGAAGTTGACTCAGGAAAGAATCGTCACTGCCTTTGTGTGCATGACACTGGGGGTTGGGGTGCAGATGTCAGAGACGCCACACTTGGCCTCTGAGAAGGATCTAAGGGGCCTCTGTAGTCCTAGAACACACATTTCACCTGCTGCGGATCGGGAATGCAATCCTTAGGTACGATGCTGAGCTTGGCAAAACACAAAAGGAGGAGCTAGCCTCCTCGGCCCAGTGTCTAAGCTGTGAGTGTTTCCAAGGGACCTGCCATCAGAGGCTGCTGGGAAGCCCTGGGTGCCTGCCTCCCCCTCCCCCACAGCTGTACCGTGTGGTAAGGAAGTGAGCTTCACACTGAGTAGACAGGTGAGGCCTGTCCCCCTCTCTGGTGTGGAAGGAGCGCGGGGGGGGGGGGGAGCCCTTCCTGCAGGAGTGAGGGGAGGGCAGGAGAGTTGCACTAAGAAGAGCCCTTCCTTGATCCTGGAGGGGAGGAGTCAGCCTTGGCAGCTGCCTTAAACCTGTTTGAACTGCACCTGCTATACACGCAGGCCACTTGCCAAGGAAGCAGGAGGGAGGCAGGCCACCTTGGCCGAGGTTCCGCGTGCAGGGTGCTGTGCAGACCTCAGGTGCCCATGGAGGTAGGTGCCCTGTGTCCATGGAGGTAGGTGCCCTGTGTCCATGGAGGTAGGTGCCCTGTGTCTGTGGCGGTAGGTGCCCTCTGCCCGGGGTCTTCCAGCAGCCGCACGGCCCTGGCGTCTCCTGGGCGCACAGAGGAAGACCCTCCCTCTGCAGCTTGTTGCTCGTTCCTCATTCGTCCAGAAGTGTACTTTGGCGTGGACAGACAGGTGTGTGTCTGATGGGGAAGTGAGGGGCGGCCTGCTGCCTTGTGTCTGCGGGTACTTAACTCTTCAGCACCCACTGCATACGAGGGGTGGGGAGGAAAGGTGACCTTGGGTGCTGGGCGCTTCTGCTGTGTCTCCCCAGACAGGTTGCCCTGGACTTGGGTTGGCTCAAGAAGAGGACAGGCAGCAGGGCGCCTCTGACTGTGGGGTACAGCCCGTCTTCAGGCCACGGGCCAGTGCCCTTAGCTGGCACTCAAGTCAGAACACGTCGTGCTGCAGGCAAGGGGTACAGACTTCTTGTCACAACCATGCAGACCCCATAGTGACCTCCGGGTTCCTATGGGGGGCTGGGAGGAGGCAAACCCAACCCTGTCCTCCCCTCTTGTCCCTTGCATCCGTCGGCTCCTGTCTTGTGGTCCCGTCAGCATCAACTGCCACAAGACACAAGCCAGTCTTAGGCACTAAGCAGCCAGGGTCCAAGGACACCTGTGAAAAATCAGCTGACTGGGAGCCTCTGCCTCTGAGGTCACGTGGTCTTCTCTGCATATCTCTCCCTGCCTTTTATGGAAAAACACATGTGAAATCTCAGCGCTCAGGAGGCTGAGGCGGAATTATCTTGAGTTCAAGGCCAGACCCTGTCTCAAAAAAGAAACAAGAAACAATTACAATGTGTTTGCGTCCTCTTGGGCAGCCCCTCATGAGGTCCCTACTGACTCCCTCGAAGTCTGTACTGGCATGGAAGGCTCCTGGATAGGGGACAGTGATAATAGCAGCCTCCCCACAGGACGGATGACTTGCTGGGAGAGAACACAGGGCCAGAGAGCGCAGCCCAGTGAAAGCATGACCACTCTGGCACTCTCAGACGGCCCTGTGTGGCCAGAGGAGACGTGCATGCCAGGTGGAGGGAACACGTGGGTCGTGGTCTGGGCGCATGGATGCTGGATTTGCAGAGCTCTTGTCTGAAGCTAGGGTTCATGGGAGGCTGGACTGAAAAACCAAGGGAGGCTGTCCCTGCAGGCCGTGACAGGTGAGGAGAATTGTAAGGGAGAAGGGCTAACAGGCAGGTCCCGCCCCCTCTGCATCTGACTTCATTGTCAGCAGGTCCGGGAAGGATGCTGAGACCCACAAAAGGGAAGTCCTTGTCTGAAGTGTCTGGACCCTGAAGGTCTGGAGCATTAGGTCAAAGTCCTGGTGAGACAGGACCAGGCCCAACGGTGTGGAGATGGGAACAAGCCAGACTGGTGTCGGCCTGGGTGTGTGGGGAAGGGAAGAGTGCAGCTGCTCCTGGGGTGGTCCTGGGGGCAGGGCAGCCCTTAGGGAGCATTAAGAGTTCTGCCAGGAAGCCTGCTTGATGCATGCTGTAAGGACACAGCATGCACGTCTCCCTGACTCTGGGAGGCACAGCTGACCTGGGCCTAGGGCTGCAAGTCGGAGGAAAGCACATTGAGTGTGACGCTGTCTAGATACGGGACGGGGTGGGGAGACCTGCTCCTACATGGGCTTGCAGATCCTGTGCTCATGTAGCATGCTGAGTGCTCGGTTGTCCTGAGAGGACAGTCCAGGAGCACACATGTCCACCAGCCAGGTGGACAGCATGTCTGCAAACCAAGGGAGGGCCAAGGAACCAGTGTCCACCCATTGGACTAGCCCAAAGGGTCCCTCTCCCTGAACACAGGTGTGGGTGTGTCTTAGAGCAGGAGGGCTGGTGACGTGAACAGAACAGTGAAGCTGTGCTGGTGTGGGGCTGTGGTGTGGAGCTGTGGTGTGGGGCTGTGGTGTGGGGCTGTGGTGTGGGCTGTGGTGTGGGGCTGTGGTGTGGAGCTGTGGTGTGGTGTGGAGCTGTGGTGTGGGCTGGTGTGGGGCTGTGGTGTGGTGTGGAGCTGTGGTGTGGGGCTGTGGTGTGGAGCTGTGGTGTGGGGCTGTGGTGTGGGGCTGTGGTGTGGAGCTGTGGTGTGGGGCTGTGGTGTGGAGCTGTGGTGTGGGGCTGTGGTGTGGGGCTGTGGTGTGGAGCTGTGGTGTGGGCTGTGGTGTGGGGCTGTGCTGGTGTGAATCTGCGGTGTGGGGCTGGGCTGGCGCACTGGAATGCAGTTTGTTGAACAGGGACGCGTTAGGGTTCCAGGACTAAGGGTGATGACATTCAGAGTGTGTGGCACTCTCAGAGCGATCGTGTCTGTGGCTCACGTTGGGCAGCCGAGTGGCGTTGTTCATCAGGGCCTTGGCCTGGAGCTGTGCACTTTCAGAATGACTAAAGGGAGCCTCACCACGGTGCTGGTCTTTCCACCCTCAGAGGATTTGTGCCGATTTTCTCTTGGCTGCCAGCTCTGAGCAGGAAGCCCTGAACCTGTGAGGTTCCGGACAGAAGGAGAGCAGATGTGGGGAGTCCCCCAGGACCCCTGAGGGTGTGATGAGGCAGCGTGCAGAGCAGGGCAGGTGTCCTGGGCAAGGGAACGGTGAGGTTTGCCCTGGAAATGGGGGCCCTCGTGGTTAGTGGTTAGGACAAGAGGGTGCCACGGAGGACCAGGGAGCCACTGAAGATCATGTACAAGCAGTGCTGGCTGCTGGGCCACAGAGGCTCTCAGGAGAGAGGCTGCAGAGGAGCTGGGGAGACTGTTGGCGGGTGGGCGAGTGGCGGCTGTGCGGATGGCTCCTGGGTCAGACAGGCTTTGGATGGAAGACACCTGCCACGGGGCAGGGTTACGGAAGGCAAAGGAGGCGTCGCGGCCACTTGGCACTGCACCAAAACCACCTTTTCTTTGGGGTTTATGGGAATTTTGACTTGGTGGTGGTGTTTGGGGTGGCATCAACCATTCCTGAGGAGGACTGGGTTAGTTGGCTTGAGGCTGGGGAACTCAGACTTGTATTTTGAAATAGTGCCTAAGGTGCAAGAGGGAATTGGAACATGCCAGTATTTGACACTTGGCAGAGTTCAGCACCATGTCCAGGATATGGATGTAACTCTGATACCCTGGGCCTCGCATCCGAAGCCCTGGTGTGTGTGAGGTAGGACCTGAGTGAGTCCCCCAGCATGGGGTGGAGAACACTTTGAAGTGACCATTTCTTCTCAGCCATTGCTAAAAGATAGCTCTTGCAAGGTGGCCGTGGCACAGCAGCCCCCAGATGGCACTAAGCCTTTTCCTGCCCTCGCATCCACTATTGGACCTGACCCTGGGCACCACAACCCGAGCATTCAGGAGCCAGTGACCCGTGAGCCTACAGCACGGGAGCACGGAGAGAGAGCATCTCCACAGCCCCCAGACACGGAGTACACTGGCACCCACAAGCATCAGTTGAGGGGCTGAGGGCAGCGGCAGCGGCAGCGGCACCTTCTGGGCAGGAGACAGACACCTCTCCGCCACAGCCGGCACTGGCTTGGAGGCTTTGTGGTCTGCTAGGAGCAGGCAGGGCAGGCAGTTGTGAGGAGGTAGAATTCCCAGCTTCCTCCAGTGCTCCGGGCCTGTGTAGTATAGAGCCCAACTTGGGCCTGGGGCCAGAACCGTGCCTCGGGTCATCGGGTGAGCAGCACGCTAGACAAGTCCCTGTGCCTGCTTGTGTTACTAGAAAGTGCCGGGAGACAGCACCCAGAACAGCAGCAGTGTGCCCTGCTTAACGTCTTCTGTCAGCAAACACTCAGAACCTGTCCAGGAAGTAAAGGCTGGGGGCCCAGGCTGCTATGTGGGAGGCCCTGTTGGGCGCTAGGCTGGGCAGCCGTGAGTGTTGGTACTCCTGGGAGCGGGTGGCTGGAGAGGACTTCGAGAGGAGGCGTGTGCCGGCCTCAGGCACCAGCGTTCACCCGCACTCCCCCTCTGCTTCATTGCTTTGGAAACACGCACCATCCTGCTAGAAAGAACAGCTGACCTCCCTGCTGGGGTCAGGGTTTGGCCAGGACACTACTGCCCTGAAGCTGTCTCTGCGGGGCGGGGCTGACTTCAGCCCTTTAGGCTGGGGACGGGAGCGGCCAAATCCCCCAGAGCTCACTGCTCTCCTCTCCTTGGCTTAGGTCCAGCCCGGCGTGCGGTCTGATGCCCATCCAGCCCTTTGACCACCGGGAATGGAATGAGCCTATGCACTCCCTCCGGATCAGTGTAGGGGGCCTTCCTGTGCTGGCATCCATGACCAAGGCCACGGACCCCCGCTTCCGCCCCCGCTGGAGGGTGATCCTGACGTCCTTTGTGGGGGCTGCTCTCCTCTGGCTGCTGTACTCCCATCATCAGGCCCCAGGACCGGGCAGGCCCCCTACCCACAATGCTTACAGCCGGAGGGCCAGCCTGGAGCGTGTCTCTCCCTACAATGACACCTATCCCCTGTCACCCCCCCAGAGGACTCCAGGTGGGATTCGGTACCGAATCGCAGTCATCGCCGACTTGGACACAGGGTCCAGGGCCCAGGAGGAAAACACCTGGTTTAGCTACCTTAAGAAAGGACACCTGACGCTGTCGGACAGTGGGGACAAGGTGACCGTGGAGTGGGATAAAGACCATGGGGTCCTGGAGACCCACCTGGCAGAAAAGGGGCGGGGCATGGAGCTCTCTGACCTGAGCGTCTTCAATGGGAAGCTGTACTCCGTGGACGACCGCACAGGGATCATCTACCAGATCGAAGGCACCAAAGCAGTGCCCTGGGTGATCCTCTCCGACGGCGATGGAACCGTGGAGAAGGGTAAGTGGGGCCCTGTCTGTGGCTGAGCCTTCGTCCACTGCGTGTCAGCTTCTCAGGCTGTGACGAAACTCCTGACGGGGAGGTGAACCGTAGTTCCCAGAGGCGCAGTCCATCGTGGTGGGGAGGTCAGTCACGGGCGTGGGAGGCAACTGGCCACATGGCGTCCACCGTCAGGAAGCAGAGGATGAACACTTGTACCCGGCCCGCTCTCCCCTTATTCAGTCCGGGACCCCAACCCATGGCATGGTGCCACCTACATCAGGGAGAGTTTTTCTGTCTTGGTTAGCCCAATCTAGAAACTCCTCACCCACATGCCCAGAAGTGTGTTTCCATGGTGATCGTGAATCCCATCAGGTTGACACTCAGGATCAACCTCAGAAAGTAACCCAAGTCTGTTAAAGGCCCTGCACACCAGAAAGGTGACACTTCATTCAGCTCCGACTGACACGCCCACCCACCTCCACCCTGAGCAGAGCCTCCCCGGGCCGGTATGAAGCTGTTTGTAGAAGTTGGAGCTGGTCACTGGGAGCCTGCTGCTGAGTGGGAAGCCCTTTTCAGAATGAGGCAAGGCTGTGTCCTGTGCCTCCCTTACCCCCTCTGGGACCCTGGTCCTTGTCACGTCTTTAGAGCCGTCTTAGGATCACACAGCATTGCTCCAACCGTGTGGCTCATCTCAGAGAGAGGTGCTCACTGGTTCGCTGTGATCCTAGGCTCTAATCTCAGTTTATTGGGGCCGCAGGTTAACTGCTGCCCTCCAGCCCTGCCCAGAGCTCAGGACAAGGGTCTCTGTGTTGAGCAGCAATGACCCCTGGGAATAGACTCTGATGTTAGCCCCGTGTGTAGCAGACAGGAGCCGCTGCTTCCACAGGGTAGGAGACAGAGCTGCCTCACCTCAGCAGACCTGATCTGCCCCTCACAGCAAGCTGGAGACCACAGCAGACTTCCTCGGGTGGAAGGAGGGCTGTGTTCCTTGTCCCTCTGCTCAGCATGCCACGCCCTGCCTGGGTGATAAAATGTCTAGTGTTTGTCCAAGGCTGGCCTCTCGGGAGAGGCTGTCTCCACCCAGGTATCAGCGGTGGTGTTGTTCATCCGTTTCCTGCCTGACACCATCGAGGTTAACTTGTGTTGTGTGCGGTGGTTCGTCCCCTGAGGGGGAAGGATGCAGGGTAATGGGCTGCCTAGGGCTGAGCTGTGACTTCATCCAGAAGGGTCCCAAGTCTGGCCAATGGGGCAGCATCTCATGGAGGCAGCTCAGAAAGCTCATGATGTCACTGGGTCTGCAGGATCCAAGCCAGTCCCTCCAAAGCCACTCTGGGGGGGTCAGGGGCCTCCATCCTCCTACGGTGGGGAGGCAGGTGCAGCCTTGGCTTCCCAGGGGTGAGGGTCTGCAGGGGTGTGGAGAGCTAGCTTGTTGGAATGTCAGGGAGGAGACTGCGCTGGGACCGTGCAGGCCTCATCGCCAGCTTGACCAAGAGGCTTATGGGAAGTCAGTCAAAGACCCTGTCACTCTACTTTCTGCCCCGGCTAAGGGAAGAACGGACCCACACGGTGATGTTCTAAAGCCCTGGGGCTGAGAGGCAGGCAGTGGTGGCCCTGTGCTGAGCTGTCAGTGTGGCCCTTGGTGGCAGGTAACTGGCACCCACAGAGCATTTGGAAGCTCACATTGCTGTGGCACGCAAGGCTCCTGAGGTGCTGGCATCACACAGGACGTGGGGCGGGGTTGCTGGCCCTTGGGAGCTGGAGGGGGGTGGGCCTAGCATAGGTGGTCTGGGAATGGCCCAGTGCGGCCCTAGAGTTGTTGCGCAGGAGATGGGCTCCCTGGAAGGAAGAAGGGAAAAAAGAGGAGGATGTGGACTCTGGGGCACAACACGGGGATCTGTCTGCCAGGCTCCCTTCTGGGCCTCTCATCCCAGCCTCCAGTGAGGTAGCCTGGGACATCCAAGAGGCTTGGCTCCACTCTGAATGCAAATGACAGCAGACAGGCAAGAGCCAGGCTGGGCATGGGGATGGGCCAGGGTCTCAGACACACCCCTCTCTTATTGCCCCAGGCTGGGCATGGGGATGGCCCGGGTCTCAGGCTCACCCCTCTCGTTGCTCTAGGCTTCAAAGCTGAGTGGCTTGCTGTGAAGGACGAGCACCTGTATGTGGGCGGCCTGGGCAAGGAGTGGACCACCACCACAGGGGAGGTGATGAACGAGAACCCCGAGTGGGTGAAGGTGGTGAGCCACAGGGGCAGCGTGGACCACGAGAACTGGGTGTCCAGCTACAATGCCCTGAGAGCTGCCGCTGGCATCCACCCTCCAGGTAAGGGCGCCTCTACGAGCTCCCAAGTGTACGGATTTCACAGCTTACTCGGGGTTGTTGGCTTCATTCTCTGTATCCAAAGGTCACCTCCTCATGTCGGTGGCGTCTGAGACAATTGAGCCATTAGTCTCTGCCCCTCGCTGGCCTCACCAGATGGCTTCTGCCCACTGCACACTGAAGTCCCCTCGTCCACAGAAAGCCACCTTAGTTTGGGGCCCTAGTGGCTGGGGTCGCATTCCTCACAAGCAGAGGAGGAGACGGGTAGGGCCTGAGCTGCCTTCCCTGGGCTCTGAGGAGTGTGACCTTTATCTGACGGTGTGGGGCAGAGCGCAGCAGGGAGCCAAGGCCCGAGAGCCCTTCTGTGCTGGGGTGCTCGGGTTCCCCGGTCTCTGGCCGCCTGTGTGCGCCAAGGGAGCAAAATAAAAGACAGCTGGCGCCCCCTGTGGGGATGTGAGGGCAGCTGGCGGGGAGGCCCTGCAGACGCACGGTAAGGCTCTGGCTGTACCGTGTCTGCTGCGTGGTAGCTGTCCCAGATAACCGGGAGTGCTGGAGAGAGGGTGGAGGGGGCCCTCGAGCATGCGTGGCCTCTGGGGTGGCGTGGCGAGAGTCCTGAGGGCTGTGCTGTGTGGTGACGCAGGCTACCTCATCCACGAGTCTGCCTGCTGGAGTGACACGCTGCAGCGCTGGTTCTTCCTGCCGCGCCGAGCCAGCCACGAGCGCTACAGCGAGAAGGCCGATGAGCGCAAGGGCAGCAACCTCCTGCTGAGTGCAGCCCAGGACTTCACGGACATCTCCGTGAGCCGCGTGGGCACGCTGGTCCCCACCCACGGCTTCTCGTCTTTCAAGTTCATCCCTAACACTGACGACCAGATCATCGTGGCTCTCAAGTCCGAAGAGGACAGTGGCAGGGTTGCCACCTACATCATGGCCTTCACCCTAGATGGCCGCTTCCTGCTTCCAGAGACCAAGATCGGCAGCGTCAAGTATGAAGGGATAGAGTTCATCTAGATGAGTCAGTTCCCATGCCCGGCAAAGCGAGGGCAGATGGCCTGAGCTACATACACCAGGACTCAATTTCATAAAAACCAGAAGAACGCACTTTGACTTGTCTGCTGTTCTCTTTTTTTAACCGAGTTGTGTGCCTGGATGGAGAGTCTCAGAATCAGGAGCTGAGTCCCAGGCCTTGTGACACAGCTTCGGGGGATGCTCTGAAGCCAGGAGCAAGGGCAGGCAGGGGTCCTGTACAGGGACAGCAGGTCCTCTGCCCGCCCGTGCCTCGCTCTGCACTGCCACCTTGTGGTAGGGATTGATCACTGCTTCAGGTACCTTTTGAGCCCCAGGGCCTTCAAAATCTAGCCACGCCTCTCCTTTTCCCCATCTTCCCTGGCTTCTCTGACCTTTCCTCGAGTTCTCTGGCCAGTGCGTGTATCTGTGACAACCAGGTGTGTTGAGTGCTAGCCTCACCCTGGGAGCACGAGGCACCCCTCTTCCTCGTATGTGACCCTGGCATGCCCCACTCTGCAGACCCTTGGAAAATAAGTGTTTACATGGCGGGGCGAGGACCCCACCTCTGGGGCACACCTGCCCACGCTGCTGAAGCCACTGAAGCACGGGACTGCTGCCCCCCGTGGCCCTCGGGAGGACTCTGGGCTATGCAGGCCTTTGACTTATTAACTGATTTTATTAAGGTAATTTCCTTTCTTAGAGAACAGTCGTCAATCCTTATCACACAGTGAAGGAGGGCTCTCCACGGCTACTCCCTCATAGCCGCAGTGTGACATCAGCTCTTACAGAAAGGGCCTCTGCACCCTTCGCCTCTGCCTTCACAAGCTGCCTTGTCTCCACCTAGCAGTGGCTGAGGGAGGGCTCTGATTCCAACAGGCCCGTTCCTGACTAGAGCCCTCCATGTTGTCCCCTGCATTTCTTGCTGGCTCCCAATGGGCGTGTGACAGCAGAGTCAGGGTCAGAGGTTGTCCTGTAGGTAACAGCCATCCTCGTCCTGCAACAGTCTTGGGATAGGACACGGGTACTGCTGGGAGCAGAGGCCCTGATAATCCTCACAGGCCCCGTCCACTCGGCAGGCTGATGGTGACACCTTTGTGTACTTGCTGTGTTTGCTGAGAGCTCAGCCTTACCTGCTTGATGCGTGTCAGCTGTGTGAGGGTGTGTGATTCTGAGCTGAACCTGAGACGCCTGGTGTTTACCTGAGGCAAGGAAGCCTTCACACCCTTCCTTTCCCTGCACAGGCGCAGTGATTGTGCCCTTCCCTCCCCCAGGTGTTTCCTAAACAATAAAGTGTCGGGGGAATGTGCCTCTCTTGTCCGTGTTGACTGTTGCCAACGGCTCTGCCTGGAAATGCCATGGGGTGAGCACCTCAGGTCTCCAGGCTCGGCTCTCGTGGGAAGCGCAGTGTGCACAGGCTGTGGTCCAGCTCCCCAGGCCCTGTCCCATCCCATCTCCTGTCCCTGGAGTCACAACAGCCTGCAGGCCTGGAGTCTGGACTACAGCAGCGACAAGCCAGGCTTGGTGGCCCAACCTCCACAGAGAATTGCAGAGAAAGGTTGCCTCACATTGGGCAGAGGGACAAGTAAAAGGTCCAGTGTGGACCAACAAAGCAGCTCAGTGTAGACAGCCTGCCACACAAACCCGACAGACGGAGTGATCCCGGAACACACACACACACACACACACTCACTCATATACACACGCTCACACATACATATATACACTCATATACACACGCTCACACATACATATATACATATACTCATATACATATATACACTCATACACATGCTCACCCACATACATATATACACTCACACTCATATACATATATACACTCACACACACACTCATATGCGGCGCCCGTGCCATAAGCAACTCCAAGATATCAGGAAAAGAAAGACAAGACGTCCAGCTATTTGTACTAGGAGAATGTATGTGCTGCCTTTATCGCCAGGAGAATGTGTGTGTGTGTGTCTTCATTGCAAGTGCTAAGAGGTCTCTTGTATGAAGGAGGAACTTTATATACAGGTTTACAGCACAGTGGAAAAACCCTAGGTAGAAGAGAGCATGTTTTCCTCCTGCTGAATGTATTGATGTCAGAGGGTCAAGGCCAGGGCAGGAAGCCAGGACTAGAAAACAGGATGGACTTGTTCCCTGTGGAGGCTGGAGCCCAACACTCATATACATATATACACTCACACACACACACACACACACACACACACACACACACACACACACGCATACACGCATACACAGATAAAATGAGTCTCTCACACCCGTCTTGGGGTTCCTAACATGCAGTTTAGGTTTAAGTAGGGGGCGGGAATCACGCCCAGCTAAACAGGCCTGGTCACTGTGTGGTCCTGTCCATCGCTGACCCTCCAGTGTGTCTGGCCCTGGTTCCCCGCTGTCCGGCTGTGGTCCATTGTCTGTGCAGAAGGCAGGCCACCCGGGCCCCACTGCCCAGGCCTGCAGGGGCCAGCATGTGCATAAGCGGTGCCTGCACACAAGTCATCTGAGTGAGGGCGCCTGGAGAGTTTGCTGGCAAGTGACCCCAGAGAATGTGGAGAGCACAGAAGTCCCCGGACAGAGGCCGAGGGCACCTCAAAGGGCTGAGGAAGGAAAGTTCCCATGTATGGCCTCTTCTCACGAGAGACTCCCTAAACAAAGGCTGTTTGGTCACACTTCCCCCCATTGCCCTAAGTAACCTCTCAGGGTTGAAAAGCAAAGAGAATCAGGGTTTATTCTGTGGCCAGAGAATGGAGAAGTGGGACCTGGCTCCCGAGGCTGGGTGTGGGAGGCCCCGTGTCTTCCGGTGTCTTCCGGGAATCTGGCATTTCTTTCTGAGGCTTCTCTTCTGCCGGGGTCTTAGTGATTCACAGCTGTCTTGGCATTGAGGCTCTGTCACTTACTGTACACACAGTGTTGGGAGGGGACTTGGGGTCTGCTAGAGGCCATTGTGGCCCCAACCTCTTGGGAGCATTGTCCTTGGACCCCTAGGCCCCTGTTGTTAAAGATAAGCACCGTCTGGGGGAGCCAGTACAGCCAGACTGTGATCCCTGCCCTGGGTAACTGAAATGGGAGCAGGTAGTGACCTTTGTAGGGGTAGGGGCCTCTGTCCCCTTAGATTGTCGTGTGTGTGTGTGTGTGTGTGTGTGTGTGTGTGTGTGTATGCGTGTGTCTGTGTTTGTGTGTCTGTGTGTGTATGCGTGTCTGTGTCTGTGTGTGTGTGTCTGTGTGTCTGTGTCGTCGTGTTCCCCCACCCCTGGTTTACTGAGTCTCCAGATGCATCGTGGAGTGACTGGGGGGAGCTGCCAGTTCCTGGGGCCTGGCCTCTTGGAAGTCCCCCTGTGTTGCAATGTCTGGACCCATTAAACACCCTTCTGTCGGCTTTGGAGCCGCCGAGCAACTGGACCTGCTGTAGCCCACAGGCCCTGTGATGGCCCTGCCTGTGTCACCCAGCATCCTTCCCTCCACAGGAAGCACAGGGCTCTGGGCCCCGGGGCCTGACCCGGGATGGAGGCACCAGGCGGGCCAGCACCCCATCCCCCCCTTCAGTCTCATCTGAGGTGACAGAAGCCACAAGCCAGCTAGCCCCAAGCAGACATCTCTGCCTGTAGCTCTCCAAGTGGTTTTCCCAGGACTACAGGAACCCATGGCCTCTGGAAACTGCATGCCTCGGGGAACTGGCCATTGAGTTCCGACCTCTGGGTTCTGGGGTTCATAGCTTTGGGGTGAATCCAAAGGGGCTAAACATCAGAAATTCCCAGGGCTTTCAAAACACTGGCTCTCCCACAGGCTGATGTGGGCATCGGTGTCTGTCACAGGTAATTCTGGCCAGCATAGGTTGAGATGCACTGGGCAGAGAACTCCCCAAGTAGGAACTAAGGTGTGTGTGTGTGTGTGTGTGTGTGTGTGTGAGTGTGAGTGTGCGTGTATGAGTGTTCGTGTGAGTGTGTGTGTATGTGTGTGTGTGTGTGTGTTGTTTGGTTGGTTTTTGTTTGGTGGAGGAAGGGAAATGGGTTTGAGTCAGGTGGAACCTATGGTGTTCCATACCCTGCCCACCGGATCCTCTGCAAGAGGTTCTTAACAAGGGTTCCTAACCACTGGGCTCTTTGAGTTTTATTCTATCTTTTACATTTATTTACCACCTGTGACCACACGCATGTGCACATGCCGAGACCAGAAGAGAACCTGCAGGAGTCAGTTTTCGCCTACACTGAGCTCCAGGGACCAAACTCAAAGTGTCAGGACTGGCTGCAAGTGCCCTTACCCCCTCACCCCGCAAGCCATGCTCGCCTCCAACTGGCAGGACCCACGTGCCTCTGCCTCCCAGCTAAAGCTGTGTGCCACCACGCCCGGTTAGCCCTGCTTTTTCCCCCTTTAAACTAGGTATTGTAGGAACCTTTTCAGATTTAATTCTTTTTTAATTGTGTGTGCGTGCGTGCGTGCACACACTTGAATGTGGGTGCCTGCAGAGGTCAGATCCCCCAGGAGCTCAGTTACAGGCTGTTCTGAGCCAGCTGACATGGACGCTGGGAGTTGAACCCAGGTCCCCGTATGGACAGGCCATACTCTCAGCCACTAAACTGTCCCCGGCTACAAGCCCTGCTTTCTACTTTGGATCTTTTTGTCTCTAACCCTATACCTCAGGCACGGCCCACTCTGGTCATCTCCACCCCTAGCCCAGTATGTGTAAGCATTTCAGTGTCAGATGGGATGGGATGGGATGGGATGGGATGGGATGGGATGGGATGGGATGGGATGGGATGGGATGGGATGGGATGGGATGGGATGGACAGGGATGGATTCTGGCACTAGGGAGCCACAGAATACCACAGGTCACAGTAGGTGTAGCAGCCCACAGCCCTGCTCCAGGGAGAGGCTTCCCCAGTGTATCAGCTCTGTGAGGTAATTACAGTTCCTCTCAAGTCCCCTGAGTGTAACCACTCCACTCTGCTAGTGGAAGGTTTCCCAGGAAAGTGTTAGAGCTCTGCTCTCTCAGTTCCTCTCTGCTCTGGCTCTGGTGAGAAGCTGTTACTTCTCTCCTCGGCTCCATTCCGGCAAAGGAAGGTCTCACCCAAACCTCATCCAAGAGATTTGTTGGGAGGGAAGAATCCAGGAGAGCGGCTGCCTCTGCCAGGATGGAAGGAAGCAGCCAGGCTGAGCAGACACAGGGTGCATATAGGGCTTCTTGGGGGGCGGGGCTTTTCCAGGGAGATTTCCAGGGTGGGGATTGATCAGATTTCAATCCCTGAGCTCAGATTGGCTAGATCTTGTGCTCAGAGATTGGTTGGTTTTCTGCTCAGGTTTCAGGGCCAAAGTGTGTTTCTTTGGCACTGGTTTCAGGGTCAGGGTACATTTCTTTGGTTCTGGTTTCAGGGCCAAAGTGTGTTTCTTTGGCCCTGCTCAGGGTGTGTTTCTTTTTTTTTTTTTTTTTTTTTTTTTTTTTGGTTTTTCGAGACAGGGTTTCTCTGTGGCTTTGGAGGCTGTCCTGGAACTCACTCTGTAGACCAGGCTGGCCTCGAACTCACAGAGATCCGCCTGCCTCTGCCTCCCGAGTGCTGGGATTAAAGGCGTGCGCCACCAACGCCCGGCTCAGGGTGTGTTTCTTTGGCTCTGCTCAGGGTGTTTCTTTGGCTGGCCCTTTTTCCCTACAGTAAGTTTTTGTGTAAGCACAACCAGCTTCCCCAGGTCCAGGCAAGGATTGTGCAGCCCACGTCCATCCTCATAGACACGGTCTGTTCCCCCTGAGCCTGTGCTCCAGGCCCACCTATATCACCCGCCCCCCTGCCCCCCAGCCCCCAGGGTGCCTGCCTGGCAAGCCAGGACATGAATTTGGTAAAAACGTGACTGTAGCCTAGGTGCCTGAACATTGCTGTTTTATCTGCTCAGCCATAGGCACTTGGGTGCCTGCCATTCCTCCAACAGACCAGTGAGTAAGCTCAGGGCTGCTAGCCTTGTCTGCAGCCAACCCCAGAAGCGGCCTCTGTCATGTGTTTTCTGGAAACCGAAACCAGACTAGGTTTATAAAGCGCTTCCTGGGACGAGGCTGAGGAAAACCACATGGTGGTGCCTCTCAGCTGAACAGTCTACAGTGAGCTTGTGACTGCAGCCAGCAGGGAGGCTCTGGGACCGTCTTCAGCCCCCAGCAGGCAGACAGCTCCTGTCTCTCACTTCCAGGTGAGTCCCCCCTCTACACAGCATGATCACAGGCAGGCCACTGAGCACCGGAGCCATGGTGCTCCTCCTAGGTGTGCAGGGCCTCTATCCAGTTGGGTGGGTGCTTGCTGAGGGGAGACGGGCATCAGAACTGAGCCCTTGGCCCTCTCCTGGGTCTGTGCCAACCTACAGAGGCACTGAATGAGCCAGCAGAGGCAGACTTGTCCCAACTTCCCACACAAAGGAGTCCCTCAGAAACATCCTCTGCCATCCAGAGGCAACCTCATCCATGTACCTCATCCATGTACCTGCAGTGTTCCCAAGGCCGAGAGCTCCTGACCCAGCACGGACAAACCTTTGGCCACAACCTACAGGAAATGGAGAGAATGGGTACCGGGTGCCTTGGGACTAGGTTTCCCAGAACCCAGGGTTCCCTGGGATTAAACTGGGGTGATGTCTCAGCACACAGGTGTGGTGGTGCTCCCTGGCTCCTTCTGCCTCTGCCAGGGTCTCTGGTACAAGCTGGCAGACCCCAACCTGGGGCTCACTAGTTGTGTGACCTGGAGGCAGCTGACTGTCTAGCTTCGGAGTATTCACCTGGGGTGTGGAAACTCGCTTGTTGCTCTGGGGTCTTGTTTACTGTCTGACTGGTTTAGAAGTCTGGGCGGGGGATCTGCCGAGTGGGGGGGGGGAGCACAGCTTCCCACCCACCCATGTGTTACAGCACACGATGCCCAGAGTCTGTGCCCAGACAGCTCCCGAGACCAGGCTCAGCCACACATCCTCTGAGGTCCCGTTAAAGACACAATAGTGAGAAACATGAGCAGGAGCTTCACCTAACGGGCCGCACTGAGATGAGCAGACCCGGCCTTCCCCTGGAGTCCATGAGGGGCGCTAACACGAGGTTTGGATTTAAACAGAGCTAGAGGTGTGCGAAACAGCTGGCCTGGTCCCTGCCTGGGCTGTCCATCTCTTTCCTGGCGACAAGCTCCCCGGGTGAAGCTGTCACCAGACTTCAGCCTCCTCCTCTCAGCATGAGACTCCCGGGGGAATTCCAGTTCCTCCGGTGCCTTGTTTCAGTTTCTGATGGCCAAAGGGAGGGGCGCAAGTCTCTCTTGGGACGTTGGCGCCCCTGCCAGGAGGGCTGCAAGCGGCTGGGGCCCTGAGGTTCTTCTTGCTGGTCTAGCACAGAAGTGTCTGGGACAGCGTGGCAGGGGGGTGAGGGGCAATCCTGGCATTTCTTCTGGTCCTGGGGTATCTCTGTTGCCCCTGGTCTGAGTAACAGAGAAACAACCTAAGGTTACCAGGTCTGGCCCAGTAGATAGTGCACACAAATGCACCACCCACTAGCCAGAACCAAGCTCTCTGACTGCTGGGAGTAGAGTGGGTGTCGCCAGGCCTGTGACACCTTACTCTGTGGGCCATGCCCATCCTTGCAGGGGTGGAGGGACCGTGCCTGGGCAGGGGGCACAGCCTAGCGATAGGCAAGAGCTTAGGCCATAGCCTAAGTACTGAGTCCCTCTCTGCCCACCTGCTTAGAGCTGTCACATACTAGGAGTTGACCCTGACCCACCCCCACCCATGCCCTACACACCTCCCACTCACCCCCACCCCCCACCCATTCCCTACTTCACACCACTGGAGCCCAGGCCCTTCTGCACTGTCTCTGTCACTCACCTCCCGAGGGAGGAGTCCCTGTTCCACCTCATCCACACCTCCTTCCCCCCACCGGCATGTCCTGTGCCTCAGGGGGCTGTTGCCTGAAGATAAGGCCAACTGTTAGCAGGCTCACACCCTGTCCATCCCCAGGGGACAGCCCCTTGTGTGCCCTGGGCCCTCACTTCCAGGAGCTCCACCTGGGGAGTCCCCAGAGCGTGAGAGGCCTGCGTGAGAGCCTCACATTGCCATCTAGGCCCTGCAGAAGAGCTGTCCTGTCCTCCACAGGCAGGGCTGAGGGGACTGTGGAACGGCCGGTCTCCAGGGAGAGAGAGCGCTTGCCCGCCTCACTGTGCCGCCCCTTCCGCTGCAGGGTTGGACTTCTAGGCCAGCCGATGGCTTTCCTGTGGCTCTTCTCTTTGTGGCTGCTGGTCCCGGGGACTCAAGGTGAGTCACGCCCGCTGGGACACGTCCAGGCACGGGTCTTCAAGGCTGCAGCACTTCTGCTCTGTGGGTCACCCCCCCCCTTGCAGAAAACCCAGGTGTCATCCTGTGAGGTGCCGTGTCTCGGGACTCCCTCATGCAGACCCCCAATCATTCCAAATAACGGTGGTGTTTTTACCCTCGGGCTCCCCTGGGCCCAGGTAAGACTCAGGTGATGGAGAAATGCCAAGGACCCCCCCCCATCTCATCCATGGGCCGAGGAGGGGATGCTGGGCCTGCGCTGACCTAGAGCCGGTGGCCTCGGGGCCCAGGTTAGAGTTCAGAGAGTCCCTGGGGGTGGTCATCTTGCATCCTCAGCTGAGTGACCCCAAATTCAAGCACTTGTATTGGCAGAGAGAGGAGCCCCAGAGAGTGAGGGGCAGGAGCCCCTTGGCTGCCTTGCCTGAGTGCAGACTGTCTGCGGTTCAGGGTTGTCAGCCGTAGACTGATGCTGTAGGTTTGAGGGGCATCTGCTCTCTGCCTGTGTCTAGGGGCTCAGGGGCCACCTATCCCCTCAGGCCAGTATTCCAAGAGCCAGCGAGGGGCCACCCCTCCCACTCTGCAGCCTGGAGATCTGAGGTGCTCCTGTGGAGCGAAAGGCCCAACCCTGAGAGATAGGGAGGCCACGGCCTCCGTGGGGCCCTCACAGTGGATAACTTTCCACACCCGGAGAGGGGACATGGAAACGGTTCAAGACCAACCCCAGAAAACTGCTGCACCCCAGTTGGGGTAACCTTCACCCTGCAGGACAGCACGGAGCATCGAAGTCCTGGGGGAGGGGTGGGCGTCAACACAGGCCAGCACTCCTCCCAGCTGACCTCCGCTTTCCTGACAGGTACCAAAGATGGGGACATGCGTCTGGTTAATGGAGCCTCGGCCAATGAGGGCCGCGTGGAGATCTTCTACAGAGGCCAGTGGGGGACAGTGTGCGACAACCTCTGGAACATTTTAGATGCCAATGTCGTTTGCCGGGCCCTAGGCTACGAGAATGCCACCCAGGCGCTGGGCAGAGCTGCCTTCGGGCCAGGTGTGGCTGCCATCCCGCCCCTCCAAAGCTGAGGTCCTCAGTGACGCCCCTCAACACCCCTGCCGAGGTCCTCAGTGACGCCCCTCAGACACCCCTGCCGAGGTCCTCAGTGACGCCCCTCAGACACCCCTGCCGAGGTCCTCAGTGACACCCCTCAGACACCCCTGCCGAGGTCCTCAGTGACGCCCCTCAGACACCCCTGCCGAGGTCCTCAGTGACGCCCCTCAACACCCCTGCCGAGGTCCTCAGTGACGCCCCTCAACACCCCTGCCGAGGTCCTCAGTGACGCCCCTCAGACACCCCTGCCGAGGTCCTCAGTGACGCCCCTCAACACCCCTGACAAGGTCCTCAGTGACACCCCTCAGACACCCCTGCCGAGGTCCTCAGTGACGCCCCTCAGACACCCCTGCCGAGGTCCTCAGTGACACCCCTCAGGCACCCCTGCCGAGGTCCTCAGTGACGCCCCTCAACACCCCTGACAAGGTCCTCAGTGACACCCCTCAGACACCCCTGCCGAGGTCCTCAGTGACACCCCTCAGACACCCCTGCCGAGGTCCTCAGTGACACCCCTCAGACACCCCTGCCGAGGTCCTCAGTGACGCCCCTCAACACCCCTGCCGAGGTCCTCAGTGACACCCCTCAGGCACCCCTGCCGAGGTCCTCAGTGACGCCCCTCAACACCCCTGCCGAGGTCCTCAGTGACGCCCCTCAACACCCCTGACAAGGTCCTCAGTGACACCCCTCAGACACCCCTGCCGAGGTCCTCAGTGACGCCCCTCAGACACCCCTGCCGAGGTCCTCAGTGACGCCCCTCAGACACCCCTGCCGAGGTCCTCAGTGACGCCCCTCAACACCCCTGCCGAAGTCCTCAGTGACGCCCCTCAACACCCCTGACAAGGTCCTCAGTGACACCCCTCAGGCACCCCTGCTGTGCCCGTGAGCAGCCCCTTGCTCTCCACCAAGGGTCCAGCCCCTCCTCCGGTGCAGCTCCCGGCTTCCTTCCCTTCCCACAGGAAGGGGACCTGTCATGCTGGACGAGGTGGAGTGTACAGGGACGGAGCCCTCGCTGGCCAATTGCAGCTCCCTGGGCTGGCTGAAGAGCCGCTGCGGGCACGAGAAGGACGCAGGCGTGGTCTGCTCCAACGGTGAGCTAGCTGCCCTTGCCCTCCCAGCACCCGGATGAGGCGTGGTGGGCCCCCGCCCCTGCCTCTGCCAGCGCCCCTGCGCAGACAGAAGTTGAGGGTGGAGCTCCGGGTGTGGCTGGGGTGCATGAAAAGCCCACCCCCTCTAAGAGGGCCCCTTGTGGTAGCCATGTCAGAGAAGCGTCTGGAGCAGGGCAGTGGGCTATGCGTAAGGGACTGTGCGCCATACACAGGTGACACCCGTGTAAGGGAGGGTCGGCTCTCTGAAGCCCAGTGTCTGGTGGTTATTACGTGCTCTGACATGTCGCACGGCACCCCTGTGCATACACACCCCTGTGTGTGGTGATGTTGAAGCGGTCCTCAGTAGCTATTTCGAGGGCGCTGGTGCCCAAAGCCCCCACCTGCCAAACCCTGACCACATTCTGATTCTTCACCTCCCGTGTCTGAGGCTCACTGGGAGCTTTCCTTCCTGGCTCCCTCCTGGGCAAGCAATGGGGCTCCTGAGTCGGGGAACTGAGGCACGAGGGTGTTGGATTCCACGAGGTCAGACGAGCTTGGGGATGAGTTGTTCTGAGGTGGAGGCTCCAGACTGGAGGAGCCTCGTGGGTGTGACTAAGCTGTACGGGCTTCTGGGGGCGGGGGAGGGTGAGAGGCCCCTCTGGCTGGGGAGCAATGCGAACGGGAGGCTGGAGGCGGAAGCTAGGAGGGTCCTGGAGGTGTGAGGAGCCAGCCCACCCACTCTAAATGATGTGGCTTGTTGGGGTTCTGGGTTAGGACTTGGAAGGCAGGGAAAAAGTGGGGATGCCCAGAGGCGTGCCATAGCCCCTCAAGGACTTATCCCCTTGGAACTGGGAGACCCCAAGTTCTAATGTGGGGCTGCCGTGGAACCCTAACTTCTCAGGCTGTTCACTGGGTGCAGGAGAGCGGCCTCTGCAGTTACTGATGGGTTTGTAAAGGATGGACATAGACTCAGTGTCTCCTCCCCTCCCTCCCTCCCTCCTTCCCCCTCCCTCCCTCCCTCCCTCTGAAACCTCAAAAACCACTACAACTGCCCCATCGCCTAATCCTTCTAATCCTTTCTGAGGGCCCCACTACCAGTGACTAAGCATTCACACATGTGACCCTGTGGAGCCTTCTTCTTCAAACCATTACAACTCTCCACAAACCAAACACACAGTGCCTGAGTGGGGTACAGGGAGCCGGCCTCTGGGCATATAGGACACAGGGCACACAGAGGCCGGAGGGCCTGCTCCTGTTTCGTGAAGTCCAGGGGGCAGCTGCACCCTTCCTCAAGGCCTGTTCCATCCTGCATCTCCCCACAAGCCCTTCTGGGCAAAGCCAGGTACCAGGATGTCTGGGACAGGTGAAGAACCTCACCCCCGAGTGTCAAGTGCAGCTTAGAGTCAGAGCAAGAGTTCTCGGAGCCCAAACCCTCACACAGCAACTCCCTGTCTCTCCTAGAAACTGGGGGCGTCCACATCCTGGACCTCTCCGGAGACCTCCCAAATGCGTTGGGCCAGATCTTTGACAGCCAGCAGGGCTGTGACCTGTTCATCCAGGTGACGGGGCAGGGCCACGGGGATCTGACAATCTGTGCCCACAAGCTGATTCTGAACACCAACCCGGAGGCCCAGGCCCTGTGGCAAGTGGTGGGTAGCAGCGTCATCATGAGGGTGGACGCGGAGTGCATGCCCGTGGTCAGAGACTTCCTCAGGTAAGCCGCGCGCGCCTTCAGCTTCGGCAGTGAGCGCCTGGGCTGTGAGCTCCCCTGCCCCGCTTTGCCGCTGGAGCATCCGCTACGCTGCGGTGGGGCGGCGAGGCGGTAGATCTGCCCCTCGCACTCGTGCAACACCCGGACACAGTCGCTTGCATATCACACATCACACGCGTGCTTCTTCACACGGCACACGTCTGCACCGGTGAGAAACTCTCCCACCTCCCTCAAAGCCACGTGGAGACGGACATCCGAACGCTCGCTGCACGTGTGTGAGCACACATCCCCACCCAGATGCTCCCTGCACTTGCACAGAGGCATTGAGCACTCAAACATCTGAATACTCACCACCTTTGGACACGTGCGCATGCACACGCACACGCATACACACACACACACATTTATGTATCCAAATGCTTCCTGCACCTGTATAAACACGTGCTCACGCATCTGAACCTTACTTTTACATGCGCCTGTTTGCCAACTTATCTTAGTCACTGTTCTGCTGCTCTGAAGAGACACCGTGACCAAGGCAGTTTTTCAAATAAAAACATTTAATTGGGGCTTGCTTGTAGCTTCAGAGGGTTAGTTCATCGTCACCATGGTGGTGGCAGTGGACCATGGCAGCATGCAGGCAGTTGGTGGAGCCATAGCTGAGAGCTTTACTGCCTGATCTACAGCAGAGAGAGACTGGGCCAGTCATGGGCTTTTGAAACCTCGGAGCCCACCCCCAGTGACACACCTCCTCCAACAAGGCCACACCTCCTAATCCTTCTAATCCTTTCAAACAGCCCCATTGCCTGGTGACTAAGCCTTCAAATATGTGAGCCTATGGGGGCCGTTCAGAGCGCCAGAGCCCTTGTGCATCCCATACACCCTGAACTGGTGTGCACACGTGCACTCCCACCCACATTAAGTGTACACACATACGTGCATTTCACTACACCACTCTAAATACTCCAAAACACCACGTGCTCACATAAGAAGATTTTGGTCTTCTGAGGTCATGATTGTAGCATGGCGTACTGACCTGGAGTTTGCCTGTGAGCCACCTGGGAGGGCACACGGAAATGGAGTCCAGGTGGGAACTGGGCAGCATGGAGCTCCTACAGCAAGGCTAGACTCAAGTCCCAGGCTCGCCCTCCCACCCGCTGGGGCCCTTAGGGAGGTACAGTCAGTATAGGCGAGACACACACGTGACCCTCTCTATGTCATGTGTCTTAGGTACGGTAGAGATACAGTGTGAGGTTCCTGTGGGCTTGTTTGTGTGGACCCCACATACATAGAGGTCAGAGGACAGCTTTCAGGAGTAGCTTCTCCTGTGGGTTCTGGGGATCAACTCAGGTCATCAGACGTGGCAGCAATTGGCCAGCTGCTGAACCATCTTGCCAGCTTCAGCGTAAGAATCCTCCCTTCCCAAGTTATCGGTCTTGCTAAGAGAACGGCAGGAAGCCTTGACTTTAAAACCGCCTGCGAGGGAGGAGGGAGCGCTTGCTCCTCTGAGGAGCCTCTCGGACTGGACTACCCTTGGCTCCTGTCGGGTCAGGAGCACGATACTTACAGATGAGAGGAGAGACGGGTGGCGGGGTTCACATCCCTCCCCCGCCTCTGCCACGACCCTTCCCTCCACATCTCCCTGCTGGGTTGCCAAGATCACATGGTTTCCCCACCCAGGAGGACTCTGAGGTTTGCACTGTGAAAGCAGTGATTTTCAAAACAGAACATTTATTAAAAAGTATCCTCTCTCATCCTTATGACACTAAGCTTTATATAACAGAACGTGACGTTTATAAGAACAATACTGGCAATTAAACCATTTGCTCCCAGCCTAGTGTGCAAAAAGCTGGCAGGGTTCCTGTGTCCTCCTGGTGAATTCTATGTCTAAGACACAGTGGAGGGTGGGACATTTGCCATCCCTGCCGTCTTGAACCCCCTGCACACCCCCACCTGTGGCCTCAGGTCTGGACCCCTGTTCTCTCTCTTTCTCCCTGTCCCTCACCCTCCCTCTCCTCCTCTCCCATCTCCCATTTCCCTCTGAGGACACACACACACTCACACACACACACACTCACATTTTGGTTCAGCCACAGGAGACACAGCAGTCCCCTAGGCTCCTCCCACTGTCCCTCAAGCCACTTTTCGAGGCTGGCTTTGGGCCTTTCCCCTCTGCATATGTGATTTTTTTTTTTTTTACTTGAAAGGATGGGCAGGGTTGGGCGGCCCACTCTGATTTCTGCAAACTAAGACTGGGCACTGAGTGAGGGAGCATGGGAGGGGCATGAGGACAGAGGGACACTCCCAAGAACCCTGGCACAACCCAGCCTCCCTTGGCACTTAGAGATAGCTGTCAACGGTCCAAGGGACCACTCTGGTGTGGAATGAGGATTAGAAATTGGTGTCGCCGGGCGGTGGTGGCGCACGCCTTTAATCCCAGCACTCGGGAGGCAGAGGCAGGCGGATCTCTGTGAGTTCAAGGCTGGGCTGGACCGACAGCCTCCAAAACAATACAGAGAAACCCTGTCTCATAAAAACCAAAAGAAAAAAGAAAAAAAGAAAGAGATTGGTGTCAATCCTTCTTCCTCCCTCCTCCGACAGCAGGGGGAGGTTGGTGGCAGTATCCTGTCCCATGCCCTCCCTATGAGGTGATTTTATGCAGGGTCTACTTGGGGTTGTGTGCGCCAGTCCAGAGGAGAGCGTTGCCATCCCAGCCTCTGGGTGCCGTGAAGTCGATGGCAGGGACCCTCAGCTCTATTTGAATACTTTTGCACAAAGAGGGAGGGTGTCGATCTGGACTTGGTGGGCTCAGACCCTCACGTGGCTCATAGTCCCACAGAAGCAGAAATCAGGTGACAGGGAGCAGATGCCTGGGGGAGAGAGAGAGAGGCACCCACAGGACCCCAGCAGGGTCCCATGCCCAGGCCCCTGTCATCCAAGGCTCACAGTGGCATCAGAGAGACCAGGAGATGTAGGTAGGAAGCCCTCAGGTGAGGGCATTCACAGATGAGGAAGAAAGTGACCGTGAGTGTCATTGCCAACAACTCTCCACCCCGTGGCCCGACACCCAGAAAGCTGCTGTCAGTTGGTGGCAGCACCCCGGCGTGGGGTCGGTGGTGAAGATGTAATAGGTAGCTGTGTGGGAAAAGCAAGCCAAGCAAACCCCCTGCTGTCTGTCAGGGCGGGCTTCAGTCTCCCAACTTCCCTCCCACCCCCAGGTACTTTTACTCCCGAAGAATCGAGGTCACCATGTCTTCTGTCAAGTGTTTGCACAAGCTAGCCTCTGCCTACGGGGCCACACAGCTTCAAGACTACTGCGGGCGGCTCTTCGCCACCCTCCTCCCCCAGGACCCCACTTTCCGCACGCCCCTGGAACTCTACGCCTACGCTCAGGCCACCAGGGACTCTGTGCTGGAAGATCTGTGTGTGCAGTTCCTGGCCTGGAACTTTGAGCCTCTGACGCAGGCTGAGGCCTGGCTGAGCGTTCCCACCGCCCTGCTCCAGGCTCTCCTCTCCAAGAGCGACCTGGCGGTGTCTAGCGAGCTGGACTTGCTGAAGGCGGTGGATCAGTGGAGCATGGAGAGCAGCGCCTCCCACGCGGAGGTAGAGCGCCTGCTGGAACAGGTCCGCTTCCCCATGGTGCTGCCCCAGGAGCTGTTTGAGCTGCAGTTCAACCTGTCCTTGTACGAGGGTCACCGGGAGCTGTTCCAAAGGAAGACCATGGAGGCCCTGGAGTTCCACACCGTGCCTTTCCGAGTACTGGCCAAGTACCGAGGCCTGAACCTCACCGAGGACACCTACCAGCCCCGACTTTACACCTCCTCAACCTGGAGCACCTTGGTGACAGAGAGTTCCTCGAGGTCACGGGCGGCGGTGCAAGTGTATGGGTATGCGCAGTACTATCCATATGGCTATGATTCAAGGCGTCGGTACTACCCCTACCAGTCCTTCCAGACCCCGCAACACCCCAGCTTTCTCTTCGTGGACAAGCTGATCTCCTGGTCAGCCACCTACCTCCCCACTGTCCAGAGCTGCTGGAACTACGGCTTCTCTTGCACCCCCGAGGAGCTCCCCGTGCTGGGCCTCACCAAGTCCAGCTACTCCGAGCCTGCCATCGGCTATGAAAACAAAGCGCTGATGCTCTGCGGAGGGTACAGTGTGGTGGATGTCGCCAACTTCGCAGGCTCTAAGGCTCCTATCCCCAGTGCTCTGGATACCAATAGTTCCAAGATTTCGTCTCTCTTTCCCTGCAGCTCGGGGGCCTTCAGCGGCTTCCGCGTGGTCATCCGCCCCTTCTACCTGACTAACTCCACTGACCTGGACTAGGTGGGTCCATCTCACTGGTGGGGACTCAGACACCCACGTGTCCCCTTCTTCTGTGTAGCCACTCCCAGCAGCTGCCACCAGATTCCGCCCCTCCCCCAGCCTCCACTGTCTCTATGAGCTTTACATTTTACTGGGTTTCAGCCAGTATTCACTCCAGGGCCCTACTGCAGGCACAAGCAGGTTCTGTGGGGTGGCTCAGTCTGTCACGGTCACTAATCTGAAATCATTAAAGTCACATGCTCTCCTCACCGCAGCTGGCTTGTTCATGCAGGAGGTGTTGCTGGCTTCCTCCAGTGGTGGGGAGGGCAGGCGTGCTGGCTTCTGGGGGACAGGGAATGAGATTGTGAGCCAGTGGGGGGGGGAGGGGGACACTAGCGGGCGGACAGCCCAGCCCTGGCCCAGGGCCCCCTCAGAGGACACAGCGAACTGCAGCAATGGGTATCAGGCTGGTGAGCACAGGGTTGAGCTGACTGAGAATAGGGGCATCCCTGAGAAGAGACTGCGTGTGTGCGCTCAGGACTCAGAGCTGCTGAACAGCAGCAGGAGACAGAGGAGGGCACTTGCAGGGAGGAGGACGCGGCATGGTGACAGCAGTTCCTCCAGAAAGCCTTGAACCTGTGCAGGCCAGAGGGACAAAGACACCCCAGCATCTGTAAGGATGGATGGAAAAGTGGAGAGACTCTGCATGCATCAGTAGGTGCTCAGTCAGTCAAGACAGAAGATGGGGGGGTCAGGAGTCAGGCAGAAGAGGGATGCTGGGTGACCCGGGGGGCCCTGGATTGGCTTCAATGCTTTGGGGACATCCTTTGAGAGTGTCGCCTTTGGGTCCTGGGCAGTGGATGCCTCCCCAAAGACTATGAGCAACTGTGTGTGTGTGTGTGTGTGTGTGTGTCTGTGTATGTGTGTGTGTGTGCCCACTTGTAAAGACAGAGGTTACCCCCAGGTCTCATTTCTCAAGATCAAGAGGTCACTCATCTTGGTCAACTTTCCACAACCTAGAAACATAAGGAAAAAGAGTCTCGGGATGGATGGCCTGCATCGGGTTGGCCTGTGTGCACGTCTGTGAGTCAGTTACCTTGGGAAGACAACAGCCCACTGTGGGCTGCTCCATTCCCTGGGGAAATGGGTCCTTACTGGTTTATAGCACTGAGGAAACCGAGCTGAGAGCGAGCACGCGAGCATGTGTGCATTCATTTCTCTCTGGTGTGAGCGGACGGATGATGAACTGTGGCGTGGAACTGTGGACCAGAGTGAGCCCTTTCTCCTCTGAGTCGTCTTTTTGTCATAGCCACAGAAAAGGAGCTTAAAAACAGCATGTGCAGAGCTTGCCCGGCCCTCCCTCAGCACTGTCTGACTTACACTCTCCTCCCGTGAGCTCCATCACTCATGTCCTCAGCAGAACTTCATGTTGTCAACACTTTTTTTTTTTAACTTCAGCCATTCTGGTGGATGTGTCCCTGTCAGCCAAATCTTCACCACTGTGACAAAATTCCTTGAGCAAGTCGACTTAGGGGAGAGAGGGCTGAGTTAGCTCACACGCTCAGAGGCTTCAGCCCACCTTCCCCTGACCCCGAAGCCTCCTCATGGTCCATTCGTTACAGACTCCTCCATGGATTGGCACCCTCCGGATGCGGTCTTCTGGTAACCCAGCAGCTCGAGAGCAAGCCTTCAGCACGGGGGCTTCCAGGGGCCAGTTTTAGGCTCACACTATTAACAGTGACTTTGAAGTGGCCATCCCCCATCTGCCTTCCTCATCCCCCTCTACCCATAAACCCACCTTGCTCAACCCATGGGACTGCCCCATCTGCTTTATACAATGAAACATTTCTGGTTCCAGAATTCCAAGCTAAGGCCAGTTGAGACGCTTAACGTAAATGGTTGGAATGTGTTCCCCAGATGCCAGAAAAGACCTTTAGGCTCCGGATGGTCAGGTCCGCGCACTGCTGCCCACGGGTGCACTGGGGATTCTGCAGACAGTGCTCTCGGCTCACAGGCTCGGGCAGGCTGGCACTGCAGGAAGGGGCTCTCACATTGGGAGGGAAAGTTAAATACGTCACGTAGCTGCAGAGCGGGTGTTACTCAGCCACCCAAAAAGGTCTTGTCATCCCTGTGTGCAAGCCAGGCAGGCTGGTGCTTGCCTGGCATCTCAGCACTCTGGTGCTCGAGGCAGGAGGATCACAAGTTTTTAGGCCCACCCAGGACATTTAGTGACCTTACCAGACCAGCCAGTGATTGTCAGACCTTGTTTGAACAAGCAAGTCAATAAATAAGTAAAATGTATTCATGACTGTTCTGGCTGGTTTTATGGCAACTGGACACAGGCTAGAGTCATTGGAGAGGAGGGAGCCTCAATGAAGAAAAATGTCTCCAGAAGACCAGGCTGTGGGCAAGCCTGTAGGGCATTTTCTTAATTAGTGCTTGATGTGGTTGGGGCCAGCCCATTGCGGGTGGGGCCACACTGGGCAGAAAGTTCTGTGTGGTAAGCTCCCCAATAATGACATGGAGACTTATTATAAATTCTGAAAGATTGACCTTTGGCTTAGACTTGCCCCCAACTAGCCAGCAAGCCGTGGGGAGCAAGCCAGTGAGCAGCATCTCTCCATGGCCTCTGTGTCAGCTCCAGGTCCCTGCCTTGCTTGACTTTCTGCGACAATGTTACTGAGTGATGGACCACAATGTGGAGGAAGTCCAAGCCAAATAAACCCCTTCCTCCCCCTGTCTCATTGGTCATGGTGTTTGATCACAGCAACAGAAACTCTTAACTGGGACAATGACATAATAAAAATACAAAAAGTTAAAAGAAAACAAGCAAGGCTTGAAAGATGACTCAGGGTAAAGGGGCTTGCAGCCAAGCCTGATGACCTGAGTTCGATCCCTCCCCAGGACACACACACACACACACACACACACACACACACTAAATAAATAAATGCAATTTCTTTGTTTTTTGTTTGTTTTTTTTTTTTGAGGCAGAATTTCTCTACATAGCCCTGGCTGTCCTGGAGCTCACTCTGTAGACCAGGCTGGCCTCAAACTCACAGAAGTCAGGCTGCCTCTGCCTCCCCAGTGCTGGGGTGAAAGTTGTGCGCCGCCACTAAAGTAATTGGCTCAAATGTAATTTCCAAAAAGTAACATTCTCATTTAATTATTTGAGAATTTCATCTAATATATTTTGATCATATTCATCCCCCTGCTCAACCCCTCCCAGATCCACTCCTATCTGCACACACAACTTTGTTCTCTTCCCCTCCCCCAGCCCCATTGAGTCCAATCTGTGTGTTTCCCCAATACTCTTAGTGTGGAGCCTGCCCTGGACTGTGATTGACCTATCGGGGGTCACATCATTAAGGGAAACCGATTTCCCTGACCGAGCAGCCATCAAATGCCGATAGCGGTCGGGGTGGGACACCGTACCCACCTCCCCTTCTCCCCGGGATTGTGTCTCAGGCTTGAGCTTACTCAGGTCTTGTGCATGCTGCCACAACTGCTGTGATTTCATACGTGTGCAAATGCCCTGCCGTGTTCCCTTGCGGTCATCCAGAGCCCCCAGCTCTCGCCCTCTTTCCGAGTCCTCTTCCCGGATGACCCCTGAGCACCAGAGGTGTGGTGTAGGTGTCCCATTTAGGACTGAGCGTGTCTGTGGCGGTCTGAGTGAGACGGCTCCCATAGGCTCATACCCTTGAACGCTTGGTCCCCAATTGGTGGAACTGATAGGAAGGATTAGGGGGCGTGGCCTTGTTGGAAGAGGTGTGTCCTTGGGAATAGGCTTTGAGGTTTCAAAAGCCCATGCCACTCTCTGTTAGCGCTCTCTCTGCCTTTTCCCTGCGTCTCAGCCTCCAGTCCAGTTCCATGCCTGCCTGCACCCCGAAACTGTACTCCCCAAACAAATTCTTGTGTAAGTTGTCACAGTGCCATTATTCTCTGTGTTGAGCACTTGTGGAAGCCTGTGTTAAACGCCATCTACTGTAGAAGTAGCTTCTCCGTGAGGGTTGAGAGAAGACTAATCTACAGCTTAACGATAAGCACACACTTCTAATCCCAGCACCCGGGAGGCAGAGGCAAGGGGTTCTCTGTGAGTTCAAGGCCAACCTGGTCTACTCAGTGAGCTCCAGGACAGCCCGGGCTACACAGAGAAATCCTGTCTCAAGAAAAAGAAAAGTTCCTCCCCCTCTCCCCCCGAACTATGATCTATCTAAGCCTCTGGTTCACATGCAATTTTTTTTTAATCCTTAATCAAACTGGGCAGTGGTGGTGCATGCCTTTAATCCCAGCACTCGGGAGGCAGAGGCAGGCGGATCTCTGTGAGTTCGAGACCAGCCTGGTCTACAGAGCGCATTCCAGGACATCCTCCAAAGTCACAGAGAAACCCTGCCTCAAAAAAAAATAAATTAATTAATAAATAATCCTTAATCAAATCTTAAAAGAAAAAAAAACAGAAACAAGTAGCCTTTGGGACCCTTCTGTCTGGGTGATCATCTGCATCCTGCTCTTCCCCCTTCCCCCAAGTGTCCTCAGTCCTCTCCCAGGACGCCCTCCCTTCTCTAGGCAGAGCCCCTGCAATGCAGGGAGGGAGGACCCCTTTTCTTTGCCACATGGCAGTCTGGGGTGGGCCTGTGCCGGCGCCCCTAGGGAAGAGGCTCTCTTAGGGAACCCCCTTAGGGAAAGCATTCCCTTGCAAGTCTATGGCATCACTCTCAAATGTCTGGGACTGAAGAGGTCAAGAGTGTGTATTACTCCTGCAGAGGACCCTGGTTCAAATCCCAGCACCCACTTGGTGGCTCACAACCTTCTGTAACTCCAGTTCCAGGGGATTAGGTGCCTCTGGTCTCCAAAGGTTTCTGAACACATGAGGTGCACATAACCTCACACAGCCACACATACCTAGGCATGGAATAAAGTGTCTATGGTTGGTTTTTTGTTTGTTTGTTTGGTTTTTTTTTTTTTTTTGGTTTTACAAGACAGGGTTTCTCTGAATTGTTTTGGAGGCTGTCGGTCCAGCCCGGCCTCAAACTCACAGAGATCCGCCTGCCTCTGCCTCCCGAGTGGTGGGATTAAAGGTGTGCGCCACCATCACCCGGCAAGTGATCATGTTTTAAAGCCCCTACATCTCCTCGTCCTACACACCACCATGCCCTCAGCCTTGGCTGGCTCCCCGTTCTCCTAAATGGAGGGGGCCGGGCAGTAACCCCCCAGACCTCTGAGTTCTGGAAGGACATTTGCTGGGTCAGCTGCTGGTCTGGAAGAAAGC